ATGGATAATTTCATTCATTCTTACTTATGAAATTCAGAACGGGTCTCCTAGCTGTCATGGGCATTCAAGGTGTAGTGGGGCAGAAAACAAAAAGTAATCATGTAATAGAAGTACAACAGACACTTGGAATTGAAGCTGCAAGAAAGGTTATAATTGACGAGATTCAGTATACCATGTCAAGCCATGGAATGACCATTGACATACGTCATATGAAGCTATTGGCAGATTTAATGACATTTAAGGTCGATTTTATTTTATTTTTTCCCTAAAGTTCCATCGCTCCAGCATAGATGTATTTTAAGAGATTGGTTTTGTGCACTTCATTTGTCACTGGTTCAAAATAGCCATATTTTTGCAACTTAACTTCAAAGTATAATATTTAATTATTATAATGCTTATTAATTTATCACGGTGTTATAATTGCAGGGTGAAGTCTTGGGAATTACAAGGCATGGCGTGCAGAAAATGAGAGATAGTGTGCTGATGTTGGCTTCGTTTGAGAAGACTGCAGATCACCTTTTCAATGCATCTGTACACGGGAGAGAGGATAAGATTGAAGGAGTAAGTGAATGCATCATTATGGGCATACCAATGCAAATAGGCACGGGGATGTTTAAACTCAGGCAAAGGTATGTGAAGCTTATGGTATTTGCATCCTGAATTGTCTGCCCTTCTCTAATTATCTATGTTAAAAATTTGCTGCATAACCTGGAAATTTAGAGAAAATGGGGAAATTGCAGCATTGGTTCCTAACCTATTGTCCAGGTATCAATACGCTTCCCAACCTTTAAAAAGGAGCAAGCTGGCCATCAGCCTTTCATTATAGTTGCCCAACCAGTCCTGAATGACCAAAACTGTCCAACTTGTACGTCTACTTTCTTGGGTTACATTCTATTTCCAACTTGGGCTGGTGATCAGAAATTCGAAGTGAAGCATATTTCCATGAGGGTGACTTGACGCCTTAATGGAGATTTGGATGGAAATAGCCCTTGTTTGACACACATTATAATGAGAATTTTCGGTAAAATGTATTATGGAATAGTATTTTTTGGGAGAATGTGTGGTTAAAAAAGAATGAATTTTTTTTT